TGCGTCTGGGCCCACTGTTGGTCCCTAGTTTCGGCATCCCCATCCACTAAGGGAATCCTAGGAGGAAAATCTTGTAGCTTTGTCTGTTCTTACTGGCTGCTGGCTGGAGACTAGCTAGCAGCTGTCAATGGTGGTCTGTGAGGAGAGAAGCTGAGTGGGAGGGGCGAATCTCAGTTACAATCTTGTCTCTTGCAGATGTATTATACTGGTGCAGGGATGAATCCTGCCCGCTCCTTTGCTCCTGCCATTCTTACCCGGAACTTCACCAACCACTGGGTGAGTAAGGGTTAAGATCCTTGAGCCCCTCTGGATGGGGCTGGACTACAAATTTCAGATTTGGTTCCTGCTTTCCATCTGGATATGTTGGTTGCTTTGGGTAACCCACAGCTAAGGGGCTGTCAAGAGAGCGTGGTATACCTGTGTGAGCAGGTTGAGTTACTTTACTAGAAGTTGAGGCTCTTAGCTGGATGTGGTAGTGTGTGTCTATAAAGGCTGAGGATGGAGGATTATTTGAGCACAGAAGTTTGAGGCCAGCCTGGGGAACATAGAAAGAACTCCTTCTCTTAAAACAAAACAAACAACAACAAAAAAGCTGTTACTTATATTGTTCCTTTTTTAGTTGGATTTGGGGTTGTTGGATTTCAGAATTTTAACCAAGTATCCTCTGAATAAAGCTATGACAGACAACTAAAAATATGAAGACAAAGCTAGGTGCTCATGGCTCACATCTTTAATCCTAGCTACTCAGGAGGCTGAGATCTGAGGATCACAGTTCAAAGCCAGCCCAGGCAGGAAAATCCATGAAACTCTTATCTTCAATAAACTACCCCCCAAAAGAGCCAGAAATGGAACCATGGCTCAGGTGGCAAGAGTGCTAGCTTTGAGCAAAAGAAGCTCAGAAACAGCATTCAGGCCTTGAGCCCAAGTTCCATGACTAACCAAAGAGGGGAGAGAGAGTGTGTGTGTGTGTATATACACACACACACACACACACACACACACACACACACACACACACACACACACACACACACACACACACACACACACACACACACACACACACACACACACTGAAACTCCCAAAAAGCAGGATGTGTGCCCAGCACCAGTGGCTCATGCCTGTAATCCTAGCTACTCAGGAGGTTGAGACCTGGGGGATGGATGGTGGTTCAAAGCTCATCTGAGCCGAAATGTCTGCTAGACTCCATCTCTAACCAGGAAAATGCTGGACCAGATGTGTGACTAAGTGGTAGAGTACAAGGTTCTGAGTTCAAGCCCTGGTACTGGCACCAAAAAGAAAAAAAAAGTCAGAATGAGCATGACTGCAAATGGGCCTGAGCTTCCCCTCAATTCTAATACTTTACTAGTCTTTTGTGTGATCCTGGGAAAATAACCCAATCATTCTGTGCCTCAGTTTCTCTAACTATAAAATGAAGTTGTCTGTGCAGAACATTTAGCACAGAATCTAGTATTTGTCTTCAACAAATATTGGTTATGTCTATGTTGTTTAGGCCATATGCAAACTAAACATGAAAATAATTAAAAAAAAACTTTAAAGCTACATATGCATCTTCATAGTATCATTATTCACAATAAAGAAAAGATGGAAGCAACCCTACTATCCTTTGACAGCTGAATGGGTAAATAAAATATGGTCTATACTTACATGGAATATTATTCAGTCTTAAGAAGAAAGGATGTTTTGACATGCTACAACATGTCAACTTTTATGACCTTATACCAACCCCGAACCTTGAGGACATTATATATACTAAGTAAAATAAGCCAATCACTAAAAGTTAATTCTGTTTATGTGCTGTGGACTATTCAATTTTGTACAAGCAGAAGGTATAAGGGTGGTTTCCAGGGGCTGAATTGGAGGGGGAAAAGGCACTTACTATCTAATAGCTGTAGAGCTTTAGATTCACAACTGGGGAAAAAAAACTGGAAACAGACTGCACAATTATGTAAACATACTTTCTTTTTGTGTGTGTGTGTGTATGTGTGTGGTGTGTGTGTGTGCCAGTTGTGGGGCTTGAATTCAGAGCCTGGGCATTGTACCTGAGCTTTTTTGCTTAAGACTAGTGCTCTACCACTTTGAGCCACAGAGCTACTTCCTCCTTCCTGGTGGTTATTTGGAAAAAAGAGTCTGACAGACTTTCCTTCCTGGGGCTGGCTTTGAACCTCCATCCTCAGATCACATCCTCCTGAGTATCTGGGATTACAGGCATGAGTCACCTGGATCCTGGCTTATGTAAATATACTTAACATTACTAAACTGCAAACTTTAAAGTGTTTGATGTTATGTCACAAAGCATATTTTACCACAATTTACATTTTTTTCCAAGAAATATATAAACTGATAACAAATAATAGATATGTGCTAAGAATATGTAGGATAAGGGAATTTTTTTCTAGGTCAGTTGGGGGCTTGAACTCAGGGCCTGGGTACTGTCCCTCAGTTTTTTTGCTCAAGGCTAGTGCTCTAGCCCTTTGAGCCCCAGCTCTACTTCTAGTTTTTTGGTGGTAAATTGGGATAAGAGTCTCATGGACTTTCCTGCCCGGCTGGCTTTGCTTTTTTTGTTGTTGTTGTTGTTGGTTGTGGGGCTTGAACTCTGGGTGTGGGTGCTGTCCCTCAGGTCTTCAGCTCAAGGCTAGCACTCTAGCACTAGAGCCACAGTACCAATTACGGTTTTCTCAGCGGTTTATTGGAGATAAAAGTCTCATGGACTTTCATCCTGGACTACTTTTGAACCTCTATCCTCAGATCTCAGCCTCCTCAGTAGCTAGCATTATAGGCGTGAGCCACCAGTGCCAGATCAACTTAAGAGTTTTAAAACAAACTGGGGTGAAGTGTAGTACTTGCTTAGCAGGCACAAGGCTCTGAGTCCTATCCCCAATACCACAAAAGCAGTGACTTCTAGCTAAGACAATGGCCAGTTGCATGTGACACTGTGTATAGAATGTCTTGTTTTCCACTGAGGGGGGAAGAAGAGAAGCAGCCTTACCTCCCAGTCCTCCCCCTGAAGTCTAAACATTCCTTTCCTCTTCCCACAGGTGTACTGGGTGGGTCCAATCATTGGAGGGGGGCTAGGCAGCCTCCTCTACGACTTTCTCCTCTTCCCCCGGCTCAAGAGTGTTTCTGAGAGACTGTCTATCCTCAAGGGTACCAGACCCAGTGACTCCAATGGACAACCAGAGGGCACAGGGGAACCTGTTGAACTGAAGACCCAGGCCCTGTAAAATCTCCAGCTGGAGAGAGGAAGTAGAAAGCTGCCGGCTTTCTGTGGAGGGGCCATGCTAGCCCCAAGATGAAGAAAGAGACTGTGGGGAGGGGCATGTACTTCTTTATTTTTTAATGTATGTGTATTTTTCTCTCCCTCTCCCTTTTTGCTGTGTGAAATCTTTCAAGTTGCATTCATAAGCTGGTTGGTGCAAACTTCCCTTCCTCCCCTACCACCTCCCTTCGCCGTGGTGTGTGTGTGTGTGTGTGTGTGTGTGTGTGTATGAATGTGGATGAGTGTGGCTGTGTCTGAGTTTTTGGGAATGCGAGCTTAGGGAAGGGAAATGAGGTGTCAAAGTATATGTCCCTTCCTCAGCCTGGTTTGGTGAACACAGGGAACAGAGACCTCAAGTTTCTGCCCTTTACATTGCTTCCAGTCAAGTGCCAGGTGCTTGATTTCTGAGGAAGCAGAAAAGCTGGGTGGTCCTCTCAGATGGTAGATAGGAGACCAGACATTCCAAGGAGATGGAACTCAAGGGAGGTGGGTGGGAAAGGGAAATGGAGGTATTGGCCCCAGATCATGATGCAAGTGTACCTAAAAGTATGGGGGAACATAAGGGGATAATGTAGTCTACTTATTTCAGGGATGCTTGCCCCAGGGACTTGGGCAGGGGAAGTAACGCTGAGAAAAGTGAACACTGGGATTTGAGCTGTTCTGTAAAGCCACATAAACCTGTCTACATCCACTGGCTGGGTTGTGTGTTCATTATGCCTTAATGGATCTCCTTGGGCCAGGGAGCTCCCAACCTCTTTAAGGGGTGAGCAAGACTAGAATCTAGAAAAATAAAGCAGCTTAGCTTGTTTGTCTAACATCCCTTGGCAGATGGCACCTAGAATGGCCACCTTAAGGCAAAAACAGGAAATCAGATGGCCTGGAGCAAAGTAGGGGAGGATGGAGGAAGTGTTGCCCTTCCAAGATTTATTTGCAGCAAATGTCCAAGTGGAATCTTAATGCGTTTATCACTGGCTCTAGTCTCTCTCTCTCTCTTTTTTTTTTTTTTTGTCAGTCGTGGGTCTTGAACTCTGGGCCTGAGTGCTATCCCTCAGCTCTTCAGCTCAAGGAAAGTGCTCTACTACTTGAGTCACAGTGCCACTTCCGGTCTTCTGGTGATTAATTGTAGATAAGACTCTCTTGCACTTTCCTGCCTGGGCTGGCCTGGAACCACAATCCTCAGATGTTAGCTTCCTGAGTAGCTAGGATTACAGGCCTGAACCACCAGCTCATGGCCGTATCTTCTTTAATTGGTGGCACAATACATCACCTCAAGCGGTGCTCCAGATCACCCTCAACTGAATAATGAATAATGATTGCTGGTCTCTTCCCTTTATAGCTTTCACAAGCTTTAGACTTATGCCTATAGTTATGACAGACAACCATAACTCCCATCGGTTCTTCAGCTCTCCACTTTGGCCCAAATAAAACGTAACTTTCCTAACTAACCACTTAGGACTCCGGATTAGGCCCACTTGACTACAAGGGGAAGAATGTAAACTCGTCTTCACAAGGACCTTAATTTTCACGAGAATGCAACAAGAAATTCATACCGCTATGACTTTTCCGATGACTACAGGGGATTGACTCAGATAAAAACAATCCTAGTCCTTTCTTCCCTTCTGATTATAGCCCCAGTCACCCCTTTTCCCCCTCCGTCCCGCAGTCAAGTGGACTAGTCCGGCTTGCCCCGCCCCACTTCCCGCGCAGGCAAGGACAGTCCCAGCCATACCGGGTGGCGGGAAGTTCTGCGACCGGGCGTCTGAGGGCTGCTGGCTCTGCGGGGCTCAGGAGAGCCCGCAGAGAGCGGGTGAGTGTGGCGAGAGGGCTGTAGGTAGCCTACGATCCCTTTGCACCCGCCAGGCAGTGTCAAGCAGCGCTGTCCTGCGGTCCCATCGCTGAGTCTGTGGTCCCGCCGTAAGGTTTAAAGGCAGGGGGCGGGGCTCCCGGGGAGCATGCGCATTCGCAACCCGAGTCTTCGCTGGGGCGCTGCGGCCTGGGGAAGCTGTGATTGGTTCTTCTGCTGTCCCCGCGCCTCTCAGCCAGAGCTGAGCTGGTCACGGGCCAGAGCAGAGCGTTCCAGAGGACTGCTACTTCGAAAACTCCCTATCCAGTTCAGATTAAAAAAAAAAGTTTGTTGGTCATTAGGACTTTGAAATCACAGCTGTTTGATAGAAATCTTTTTCTTTAATGGAAGTAATTATTCTGGCCTTTCCCCCTGGGGTGTAAAGTTGCAGGATAAACATCTCTGCTCAAGTTTGTCTGCTAGGCAAGTAGCCACTAATTCAGTTTTGTTCTTGTGTGCTGGGCCTTGAACTCAGGGCCTGGGTGCAGTCCCTGAGTTCGTTTGTTTTCAAGGCTAGTGCTCTAGTACTTGAGCCACAGCTCCATTTCTGGCTTTTTGCTGGTTGGTTAGAGATAAGAATCTGATGGGAGCCTAGGGCCGGTGGCTCAGGCCTGTAATCCTAGCCACTCAGGAGGCTGAGATCTGAGGATCACGGTTCAAAGCCAGCCTGGGCAGGAAAGTCCATGAGACTTTTATCTCCAATAAACCACTAGAAAAACGGTAGTGGCGCTGTGGCCCAAGTGGTAGAGCGCTAGCCTTGAGCTGAAGAGCTGAGGGACAGCGTTAAAGCCCAGAGTTCAAGCCCCACGACCACTACCATCACCACCAAAAAGAATCTGATGGGCTTCCTGCCGGCAGCCGCCTTCAAACCATGATCTTTAGATATTAGCCTCCTTAGTAGCTAGGATTACTGTCCTGAGCTACTGATACCAGGCTTAGCAAGTCTCAGTTTATTTACTTTGACTTGTGTGCTGTCCTAGAACCTTTTTTAAAAGCCTGACCATTGCCCTTTAACCTTAAAACTCTTACTAGCCGGGCACCGGTGGCTTACTCCTGCAATCCCAGCTACTCTGAAGGCTGAGATCTGAGGATCATGGTTCAAAGCCAGCCTGGGCAGGAAAGTCTGTGAGACTTTTATCTCCAACAAACCACTAGGAAACCAGAAGTGGCGCTGTGGCTCGAGCAATAGAGTGCTCGCCTTGAGCTGAGGAGCACAGGGACAGCCCAGAGTTCAAGCCCCATGACCAACCAAAAAAAAAAGCCTCTTACTTCAGCAGTTCACTGTCAGGCTTGTGTAGGTGGGCATGGTGGCCTTTCATGGTCTGGACCTGACCCACTGGGCCTTATTTTCTTTCTTTCTTTCTTTTTTTTTTTTTTCTGTCATGGAGCCTGAACTCTGGGCCTGGATGCTGTCCCAGCTCTTCAGCTGGCTAAAGGCCTCATTTTTTAAAGCCCTAATTTTTTTTTTTTTTTTCATCTCATCTTTGACTACTAACCACAGGGAAGAGAAGAGCACTGTGTTCTTTCAAACCTCAGTACCTGTGCTCCTCCTGATCCCTATTTGGAAGTTCTTGTCATTTCTCTGCCAGTGAGCTTGTCTTTGAGTTCAGAACCCATTGTAGCTCTGAAATCCAGTTTAGCCAGCTCTCCCTGGGCCAAGCTGGCCATGTCTTCCTTTGTGCTTCTGATGTAGTGTACCTTCCTCTATTATCAGTGGCGCTATACAATTTAATAAAGGTTACAGAGCTCCTGATAGGTTCCATGTACTGTGGTCAGCACCAAGTGTATAAAGAGATGAATAGTTCAACCCCCGTGGAACTGACAGTCTGGTAGGAAAAACATGTATATAGGAGTCTTCTGCAGTTAGGGGTTACAAGATTATAAATAAGTTCTCCCTGGGGCTTGATATGGTGGTGTTCACCTGTGATTTCAGTTATTCTAGGTTACTGAGAGATAAAGGTAAGAAGGCTCCAAGATAAAGGGTGGTCTAAGAAAACAAACATAAGACACTGAAACATAAAAGCCAAAAGGACTTTGGCATGATTCATGTGGGAGAGCAACTGTCTAACAAACACAGGCCTTGAGTTCAAATCTCAGTACAACAACAGCCCCATCCTCTTCTGTTTCAACTTCAAGATTTGTATAGATCAGTTAGTACCACATTTATAGAGCACTTATACTATGCTAGTCATGATTTTTTTTGGGGGGGGAAGGGGGTCCAGTCATGGGGCCTGAACTCTGGGCCTGGGCGCTGTACCTCAGCTCTTCAGCTCAAGGCTAGCGCTCTACCACTTGAGCCAGAGCACCACTTCCGGCTTTTCTTTTTGCTTATGTGGTGCTGAGGAATCGAACCCAGGGCCCCATGCATGCAAGGCAAGCGCTCTACCACTGAGTCACCTTCCCAGCCCCTAGTCCTGATTTTTGAGCTCAAAGAGTTTACATTTTAGAGTGGTAGTTAATAGGATTAAATTAGACTCGTCTGAGGTGCATTTCCCACCCTCCCTCCCTTCCTTCTTCCCTTCCTAGAAGTAGATAACAGGGGACTGAGTTAGACTCACCTGAGGAGCATTTTCTTCCTTCTCTCCTCTCTGTCCCTCCCTGTAGAGGTGTTTATTAGAATTGAACCCAGGGCCTCATACATGCTAGTCAAGCACTCTACCACTGAGCTATAATCCCAGCTCTTTTATTTTGAGATGAGGTCTTGCTTGCTAAGTTGCCTAAACTAGCCTTGAGCCTGGGATCCTCCTACTTTAGTCTCCCATGCAGCTAGGATTACAGGCATGGAACATCATGCTCAGCTGTGAGGTGCATTTTCAAAATACGTTTGCCCACGTTCCACTCTGGAAATTTTGATCCAGTAACCAGGCTATGAAAATTAAAAGATGAATAAGAAAATTACTGTCTTCAAGAAATCTGAGGAAAATGAGGGGAGACAGACCTTTTAAATAATCAACTTTAACTATTATATTTAGCATGAGGTATTAAGTGCCATGATAGGTGTCTGTACATAGATACAAAGGAGGAAAGTTGCTTCTGTGTGAAGAATTCAGGAAGAATTGCCATTTTCACTCTGTGTGTGTATGTGTATGTGTGTACACATGAGTGTACACATGCATATGCTTGCTGGTTTGGGGGGTCTTGAACTCAGGGTCTGAACTCTGTCCCTGTGCTTTTTTTGCTCAAAGCTGGTGTTCTATCACTTGAGCCACAGCTCCACTTCTGGCTTTTTGGTGGCTAGTTGATGGCAAGTCTCCGATTTTCCTGCTCAGGCTTTGAACTACAATCTTAAGATAGTAGCCTCCTGAGTAGCTAGGATTACAGGTGTGAGCTACTGGTGCCATTTTCACACTTTTTTTTTGTTGTTGTTGTTGTTTGTGGGGCTTGAACTCTTGACCTGGTCTCTGTCCCTCAGCTCTTCAGCTCAAGGTGAGCGCTCTACCACTTGAGCCACAGTGCCACTTCCTATTTTTTTGGTGTGTGTGTGTGGCTTTTTTGTTTTTGTTTTTGTTTTTTTGTCGGTCGTGGGGCTTGAACTCTCGGCTTGGGTGCTGTCCCTGCACTCTTCAGCTCAAGGCGAGCATTCTACCGCTTGACCCACGACACCACTTCCGGTTTTCTAGTGGTTTATTGGAGATAAGAGTCTCATGGACTTTCCTGCTGGGGCTGGCTTTGAACAGTGATCCTCAGATCTCAGCCTCCTGAGTAACTAGGATTACAGACATGAGCTACCAGTGCCCAGCCAGTTTTCACTCTTAAAAGAAGTCCATAGGGGGCTGGGAAGGTGGCTCAGCAGTAGAGTGCTTGCCTCACATGCATGAGGCCCTGGGTTTGATTCTTAAGCACCACATAAGCAGAAAAAGCTGGAAGTGGCACTGTGGCTCAAGTGGTAGAGCGTTAGCCTTGAGCTGAAGAGCAGGGGGACAGCGCCAAGGCCTAGAGTTCAAGTCCCACAACCCACATTAAAAAAAGAAAAAAAAAAAAGGAGAGAGAGAGAGAGAGAGCGGGGGGTCCATAAATGGGAGGAGGACATTCTGGACAGAGGAGTAGCTTACCCAGGAGATGGAAAGGTAACCACAGGCATATATGAAGGGCTATGTAATGTTGAGGTTGGAGACTACCAAAGTTGTTTGTTTTTTTTTGTAGTACATGTTAATGTAAATACTTCTAATACTACCAAAGTGAAATATAAATGTTTCTCCTACCTTAAATTCCTCCATTTTTCCCCAGAAACATCACTCTGGGTGTGTGTGTGTGTGTGTGTGTGTGTGTGTGTGTGTGTGTGTGTGATGTGCACATGCTGTAATTGAGGTTTGAACTTAGGGCCTTGTGGTTGCTAGGCATGTGCTCTGTCACTTGATCCATGCCTCTACCCCTTTTTGCTTTTTGTTGGGGGGGGGGCCTGAACTCTGGGCCTGGGCGCTGTCCCTCAGCTTTTCAGCTCAAGGCTAGCACCCTACCACTTAAGCCACAGCGCTACTTCCGGCTTTTTCTGCTTATGTGGTGTTGAGGAATGGAACCCAGGGCCCCATACATGCAAGGCAAGCACTCAACCACTTCCCACCTTCCCAGCCCCTTTCCCAACCCCCCACTTTTTCTGGACCAAGATCCTTCCTCCTATGACTTCTGTATAGATAGGACCACAAGTACCTACCATCATACCCAGCTTGTTTGTTGAGATGAAATCTTAAACTAGCCCAAGCTAGACTTGAACCTTGATCCTCTTCCTGAGCTCTCCCTCTTAAGTAGCTAGGACTGTCTATGGGTATGAACCACTGCACCCTGCTGAAGTGTTTTTAAGCCAGGTGGGGATGTGGTCAAATCAGATAATTATCTTGTTAGATTTAATAAGATAAGGTTAAAGTGACGGAGTACAACTGTAATCCCAGCATTGACAAGTCTGAGAGAGAAAGATCACGAATGCAAGGCCAAGTCAGTGTGAGCTACATAGGGAGACCCTGTCCAAA